GGCCCATGCAGAACTCTAGAGCAACTGTTCTAGTGCAAAAATCAGCCAAGTGCACATTTTCCTTTCAGTGATGCCCATGTGTGCTTATTGGCAGTTTTTCAGTTTTTTCACCAACTTGCTGTTCTCACACGACACATAAACAGGGCTAAAGACTCACTTTTAACATTGGCTGTGCTGGTGCATCTAACTTTTTTATTTATGTGCACCCCAAACTTTTCACATTGTTTACCTTTTCTTGCCACTTCCCATACACATTGGTCATTTCTGTTGCGTACATTTAACCTCTGTTGGATGATATCAGACTCCCACACGATGACTTGCAAAAATACATTTATTATGTATTATTAGACCTGACTACCAGCAAAACGTTGCACTAATAAATGCATTTTTGCAAGTTAGATGGTGTGCAGGAGTCTTGCTTTAACTTTTAGATATGCTCGCCCCTCTGCTTCATGAATAGATGTGGGAAGTGTTTCTTTGTTAAATGTTATCAGCCCATTAAATGACCACTGTCTTTGCTGATGTTTCATTTGGGACCTGCTCTACCTTCCAGTAGGCTCAGCAGGCCGTTTTAGACCGCATTTAATGAGCTCTGTTTTCACCTCAGTTAAAGGCAGTAGAGCTGCAAGTTTGCACTTATGGGGAGGAACAAAAGTTTGCATTTGGATGAAGGAGGAGCTGGTTTTAATCTGATTACTGGCCACTGTTGATTTTTTCCACAAATGTCTTCCTTTGACTTTGGCTTTCACTCGCTGCATTTCAGTCCGTGTTTGGTCAAGCTTAGGAACCAAAACTACCTGGTTTAGTTTAGAGAAGGATCGTAGCCTGGGGTAAATCTCCTGTCCCTACGTTTATCACATTCTACATTGCTCCTCTGGACATTTTACAAGCACTTATTCAAATGAACGCCAGAGGTCTTCTGTCTGTCAATAATCAGAATGGATGTAACACATCCAGCACAAGGTGGAGGAGGTCCTACAGGCCCGTATCTATGGGAATTATCAGCAATGACAATGGTCACCTAATGAGCTGATAACATCTGAATTGGATGTGGTTCACTGCTGCCTGATGCTCAATTGTTGCTTTGAAGGTGGCTGCTTTACTAACCACACACCTGGCATGGCGCAGGACAATATCTTGGAAATGTTTTAGTCAGAACATTGATGTTCTGACGTAAAGGCGTTGTTTGAAGCTATGGTTTGGCTACACTCTTTGCAATAAATGCAATAGATTATGTCTGTTTTATCATAAACACAGTTTTAAGATAGAGAATGCAACCACGGTTGTTCTTTTGAAGCTACAATTCACAGATGTCCCACAACACTTTACATGGAGACTAGTGGTCAGTCATTCACTTGTCATGGAGTTCCCTTCATGCCTCACATGCCAGAGTAGACCGTACGAGGAAGCTGCACACAGAGAAGCCTTGAACTGCCGATCAGTTGTTGCAGTGAATTCCACCTCAAACAGGTGTTAGAAAAAGCATTTGTTTGAAAAGAGTGAAATGAGGTGTTCTAATGTCAGATGAACCAAAGCTGAAACTAAGTGATTTTATCTACATGGATTCACTGGCTGGAGACACATACAGACAGACCTACTAAATACTAAGTGGACTGGTGCAACAAAATAAAAATGATCTGTGGACAGATTTTTGATTGCATGTTGCACGCTGGAGTCTTGCATCAGTGCTATGATTTTTGGGAAACAACTTGCATGCCTCAAAATTCACTCTCCACTATTTACATGCTCAAGGCCTATATTAAAAATGGTCCTTGATCAGAACTGCAGCACAATGATAAAAAATTTTTAAAAAATAAAGGTGAACATTGTTCACTGTGGGACTGCAAGGTGCCTCTGTGGTTAGCACCGTCGTCTTGCAGCTGGAAGATCCCCGGTTTGCGTCCCGGGATCTTTCTGCATGGAGTTTGCATGTTCTCCCCGTGCAGCGTGGGTTCTCTCTGGGTTCTCCGGCTTCCTCCCACACAGTCCAAAAACATGTTGAGGTTAATTGGTGATTCTAAATTGTGTGAATGTAAGTGTGCTTGGTTGTCTGTCTCTAAGTGTAGCCCCTGACAGACTGGTGACCTGTCCAGGGTGTCCCCTGCCTTCACCCTGAGTCAGCTGGGATAGACTCCAGCCCCCCATGACCCTAGTGAGGATTAAGCGGTGTATAGATAATGGATGGATGGATGTTCACTATGATGGATTACATGTCTCAGATAAATTCCAAGTATCTACCAGTTGAAATTCATACTGTACAGATATAAACTGAATCTAGTGTCTGGCTGTTAGGCAGATCATCAATCTAAACATTGATGGTTTGCTGTGGGTCAGCAGTAATGTAAATGACACACAATTTGCAGTTAATGGGCCAAAACCTGCAAAACCACACGATGGTCCATTAAATATCCTTAAGCAAGGCACTAACACTTCCACATCCAGCCGACTCTAACGTTGACTTTTAACCTTTCGAATTGTCTAATAAAAAGAGACTCTCTCCTACAAAAAGATATTTGTAAAAAAAACAAAAAAAAAAACAATTTAAAACTTTGCTTCCATAGCAACCAACTATCTAAAAAAAAGCATGTGCAGCTTTGAAACACTTAAATACTAAACAGACAGGTTCCTGCACTTACTGTCTCATTACTCATAACGTCACCATGTTCAGTCTGTTGGCTGTTTTTGTTGTCAGCTGCACTGACTCATACAGAAACTGTAAATGTCAAGTGAGCCCTTGTAGCACCCTTCACTTTTCTAAGCTTTAGCAAAGTGCTTCACTCTCCTTGTGAAGACAGCGGGTGAAACACTTCTCTCAAAGTGGTCTGTCGCTGTGAACCTACTGCTAGGAAATGGCTGCTTAAAAAGCAAAGTAAGTAAAAAGTCCAGAAAATTTAAAGCTAAAGTGTGAATTGTCAAAAGCTGAGAAATTCTGACTTTTTTTTTTAACAACAGCAATTTAACAGTTACATACACTTTGCACTTTAGGTGAGCCGGATTTAACCTTCTCGCTCAGACTTTTTTTATGTTTAATTTTTAAAATCATTTACACAAATACAACTGTCACTCCTCTTGTGTGCAGCCAAGCGCAACACAGCAAAAGTCTTCAGGTAGATTGGCCAAAAGTAGATTATTCCTATTTATGTGACTGTGTCTCACTCTGTTCTTCACATAGGCTTCTTTCAGACATGCTCCTGCCTTCATCTTTACCGCTGATTTGCCCCAGCGGCAACAAAAAAAGCCCTCAGTGGTCCAATAATCTTAATCACCATCATCATCGTAAGACTGTCACTTAAATGGTAAAAAGGTCAGCTATTGCTGCTCTAGTTATGAAATGTAATCTTTGAAGATTAAATATTTGTGGAATGTTCTCAGAGTGTAGAAAAGCTACGTTTATATGTGTCAGATGTGCTTTCCCACAGAGTTGTCGAGTCCATTGCATCATATGTCCTTTTTATCATGTGAAATCTGGTTGAAAATGAAAAGATTTCAGCATAATAATAAACCCACTATCCATTATTATAATACAAGCATCCATCCAGTACGTCCTTCCTGCTCTTTAGAGGTGGTGGCCATCAACACTTGTGCTAACGAACATGTTATTCAGATTTTAGCTACAAACAAACCATTTATTTTTTGCTATTGGCATTCGAGGGAAATAAGATATAAATGTCTAAATGAAAATGCCATGAAATATTGCTCTGCTAAATGTCTTTAAGATAGAACATATTTTTATCTTCAAATGTTTTAATGTCAAGCAAAACAGTTTGTAGCTGCACAGAAGCTTCAGAGGATCTAGTGCACCCTGGTGAGAGCAAATGTTCCAAATTCACAAAGTAAAAATAAAAGCCAGCTAAACTACTTCCAGCTCCAAGTCACCACCGGCAAGTATACACACAAGCATGCACGGCACACACACACACACACACATACACACACACGAGCACACACACCGAGAGAGCCAGAGCAAAAGGGAGCAGAAGGGCCCAGGGAGACAGATTGTCTTTTAATTGGTTGAAAACTGCAGAGCTTTGAGAAGGGCTGAAGGGGAGGACACACACACACATACATATATCCACACACGCACACACACACACACACACACACACACACACACACACACACAGACACACACACACACACACACACACACTCAGCAAACACACACACAGCAAACACACACAATGTCCTCTGTGATAGTAAGGAGACGTAGCCAGTCCCTGCTGACTGACTGGTATAATGAGCTGAACTTGGGCCAAAAGCTGGAGGTGTGTGTGTGTGTGTGTGTGTGTGTGTGTGTGTGTGTGTGTGTNTCTGTGTGTGTGTCTGTGTGTGTATTTGTTTGCACTGAATGCGTGTGTGGCAGCGTGCTGATATTATCGAACTGAAAGACAGAACGATGGTTCAAAGATTGAGGGTCAGAGGAGTGTAAATATGTGTGTGTTTATAAAGGGTTTTTCTTTCTACTGTACCATCACTGGATCTCTGCTGAAAGTTTTGGCAGTTGCATGTTTGTTTGTTCATCAGCCAGCATTTAAAGTAGTTTTTAACCCCTGAAAACTTATCTCAAAGCTGCAAATTTAGAAGCTTTTTCCAAAAAAAATAATCATTTTCTACATTAAAATGGCTTAGATATAATTACACGCTGTTGCTTCCTTTAGAATGTACGGTTCTACAAAGTCCTTGCCTCTCTGTCTCCACCCACACCTCCCCACTACATACAGCTCACCTACAACTCTGCTCCAACACTGCAAACTGCTTTACACAATGGCAAGTGGTAGGTTTAAAAAAAAAGAAGAAGAAGAAAAAAAAAAGAAGAGAGATTTACACCAGTGGGGGTCTTTAAGGTTTGACAAGTACAGTTTGCTGAAGTTTTATATTTCTTGAGATAAATTAAAAACCAAAAGCCAACATGCTGCCAGAATACAGTTCAACCAGAATGTTAGAAAATAATGAAAGCCTCCTATTACACCATAAATACATCATGAATATGTGTGTGATACCTCTTGATGGTGCGAAGCAGGGTAGATCTGGCCTCGTTGTGGAAGGTGATGATGATGGAGGTCGGAGGAAGATCCGAGTCGTAGTGAAGAGTGGTGCACCTGCAGAGAGAGAGAGCATTATTAAACATGGGATCCACTGATCCATGTGGTGAGATTCATGTCGAGGAAGAATACTTAAAGTCAGATAAAGAGCAATAATAAAGTCCATCATGGTAAATGATAATGTATTAGTGTGGGTTACAGTGATACAACATTATCCCTGTATGATCTGTAACACTCCCCTCTCATAAAATACGGCAAATTACACCTGAACACCGACAATTTTTACCACTGCTTGAATATTCTGATACAATTGAAGAAGCAGCTGTTGTCATCATTAATCACTAGTGTTAGAAAGTAATTAGAATGACATTATTTCTCTTTCTAAGTTGGAATACTTTATGAGACAGTTACTGCTTCTGTCTGTCGGCACACACACACACACACACACACACACACACACACACACATACGCTCACAGTAACAGAGTGGTCAGAGCAGACCTGTTGAAAATGAATAATAGATGACCACCAAGAGGCTCATTAAAATACACCACATAACAGCATTTGTGTCTGTGCTGCCTTCGCCAGGTCAGCAGTCTTTTCTTCTAAAAGAACAGACACACACACACACACACACACACACACACACACACACACACACAGTATAATGAGATGCCTGGCCTTTACCTATCAGACTGATGGATTGGTGACATTTTCAAACAGAAACAGTCTGCGTGGTCGGCTTTGGCCTTCATTTTTTAAAAAGCTCACCTTTTTAAAAATATGTGTGTGTCCGTGTAAAACTTAGCACCCCGCACCATTACCCAGCTTAACGCGTGGTTCTCTGCTGCTTACCTAATCGAATTCCATAATGTGTTTCATTATTTTTTTATTTATTTATAACTGGAGGCATTAAGGCCGAAACACTCAGGTAAAAAAACGTTGTACATAAGGAAGACAGATTGGTTTGGTTTTCCCCGTTTTCTTTCACTTAACAGTGGCCGGTGTTATACTCAGTGTTGTGCATGAACGCGCTTGAAAGAGAAGCCGTGCATGAGCAACGAGTTCATGTTTATAGCGGAAGTTGAACTGAAAGTATTTGTGTCCAATCAAGCAAACACTAAAGCACTGAGTTTTATGGCACACAAGGATTGACGACGCTCGGTATGCTTTTAACATTGCTCGTGCAAATAGCAGCTCACACAATGCAGGTTCCAGTGCTGATGAAGCCAGTAAAAATCAATCTTTAAAGGATTCCCAAGTGAAAAAAAAATCTCACAGTTTATGGAAATTGATTGAAATTGAAAAGATGAACTATAACTAAGTTAAAACTACATGTCCAGTCGAGCCATCCGAGCAGTTATCTGCAAGTGGTGACATAAAATCATTAAAAAACAGTTTGACCAACAGATGCAAAGTTCCCCAACCTAAATCAAATTCTCCGTATTTTTTGTTTTTCAAAACAACAGCTACAAGATCTTTTGTCTGGATTTGTTCAAGACTACATTGGAGAACATCTTCAGCCTTTCAACAAGGTCAAAAAACCATCGATCACTAAATTAGTAACTGGTTTGCAGCCATTATGGTGTGGGCCCTTTAAGAAGGCACACACTGTTGAACAAGACATTGCAGAAAATTATTTGTGATCTAAAGGCTGAACTTGTGCTATATCCACAACAGTAGACAGCTGGTGTGCTGTGAACAAGACATTTATGGGCATCACAATTAACTGGTTCTACAAAAAATATGTCTCAGACGAGCTTTGTGTGTCAAAGCAGCTCACAATGTGTTGGCAAAATGTCGCCAGACGTGTAAAAACAATTCAAAAACCAAATTAAGATTGCGTGTACTCCAACAGATAACTTCAACATCCAACTACTTTGAGGAGGATGTTGTTTTTGATCCGGAACCAGTTGTTTTCAATGATAAGGCAACTGAAGAACATGATAAATTAGGCTCTACCTCACCTACTGCTGCTGCTCCTGAGAGCTCAGATGAAGATGATGAAATAGAACCTGAGTCCTTCTGAGATCTCTAGTGTGTGGCTCACACCTTAAACCTAATCGCCAAAGACAGTGAAAGGTAAGTGAAAGACAACAGAGACGATTATGTAGGGCTGTTTTTGCAAAGGTGTCTGCTTTGTGGGAAACAAAGTTAAACAAAGGCCAAAAGCATCTGATATGGTCTAAGAAGAGCTTGGTACTGGCTTTGTATTGCCACCTGACACACAGTGTTTATTGCTATGCTACCACAGTCTTGCATGGAAAACTTAACTCCCAAGACAGGTACTAATGAGGCTGCTGATGCTGCCATTCGTGCAAATGACAAACATACCCTGCACACTGTCTGTGATGAGTTTGGCTTGCATCGATTGCCTCCAGAGGAAATTGACTTCATACATAACTTTGTGGGAGTAATGAGCCCCTTAGCAGTTGCAATGAACATCCTGCAGAGGGAGGAGAACATCTTCAAAAGGTACTTGGTTCCAACCATTGTCAAACCACACAGTGATATAAATGCCATGCTACACAAGGTCTGAACACATGATATACCCTTATATAAAACCACATGTAGTGACGGAGAACAAGACTGGAAGGCTTGCTTGAGAATTAAGAACACATATTGGCAGCCATGCTGCTGCCAATGTTCAAGCTCTACTGGAAGATGAGGAGAAACGCCTGCAGTACTGAGCAATGTCGGAACAAGAATTTCAAAATGATTAACTCTGATGACTCACAGTCAAGAAGCTCTCGGTCCAGTGGTGACATAAACAGATGAGACAATACGACAGCAATTTTTAGATTTAAACCAAACCCACTGAATTCCAGCAAAAGTGAAGAAGTACCTTAATCGGATGCACCAACAACAGATGGATTTGCTGAGTACCTGCTGCTGCTTAGTCTCAAAGAGCTGTTCAGAAAGTCCAACACTGCATCTAAAGCACCCCACTTCCTCACTGATGGTCACATATTGAGTCCCAGGAGAAATCGGCTTGGTGAAGCCAACTCTGAGAAGCAACGGCTCTTAAAAGCCAGCACAGAGATTTGAACTGCTTTTATTGGTGAACTGACGAATAGTATCTATTGCTGTGAGGCTTTAGAAGATCTTGATGGGCAGTGGTGGTGCAACATACTAGGGATGAGTGTATTGGTGTACAGGGTTGTAGCTGCATGAGAAGTGAGAATGACTTATTTTTTCTGTTTTTATAGTCTACTTTACTCTTTTCTTCTTAGAGGATTTTCAGAAATGTGGGCTGAAAAATGCACTGTAAATCTGTAGCTAAAGCCTTTGACAACCAAAACACAGAGAAATTCAGCTTCTAAAATGTTGAAAGGTACATGTGTTACAAGCTAAATGCTGTTTGAGTGTTCAGAGCTGTTATTTTTTTTTCCTCTGGAAGGACAGAAAATCAAACTTGAAGAGAATGAAATACTCGTTCACTTTACTTTTAGCGCTGCTCTTTTCGGAGGATGTTAAAATATGTTAGCTAAATATTGCACTTTGAGCAGATGAGGCACATCCTGGGTTTCCACACTTCTACAAACAGTTTTTTTTTCTATGTTGGTACTTAGCATCTTGTTGGTTGTTGGCATCATCTGAGCTCTGGTGTTCACAGTCACTGCCCTGCAGAATATTCTCCCGAAGGTTTTAAGATGCAGTGCCTGGTCTTTCATCCCATTATTGCTTTCTTTAAATTGTTTGCTCTGCAGAACTGAACACATCTTCTTTCAGCTAGCGACTGTAATGAAGCCAGTCATGGATCCTATACCAACACTCTTGGAAGCATATGAATATATTTAATGTTTTTGAAAAGCTGCATAATTTGATTCATGCAGACTAAATAAAATGTCCATTGCCCCTACAGTACACCGTCACTGCACCTGTTTTAAAATAAATAAATAATAAAAATGTATATAGAGTTGAATTACATTAGTAAAACCAATTGGTTTGTGGACGTCGTAGTTCTTGACAAATTGTTTTAAGTAGTAAAACGCATCATGCAGTCACCCTGGGTTTTTTTTTAGCTTCTCAATCTATGGATACGGTGATTTATGAATTTTGGGAAGTGTCAGTTGGGGACTGGGGTTGGATGGGTAGAAGGAGGTTTTACTGAAAAAGCTCAGAGAAGCTCTTCTCTGGCTTTTGTGTGAACTGGCTCAACACTGGTTATACAGTTAAAACAGAATAAATACAACATGTAAAAACACAGAACCATTTACATGAACAACTATGAACGATATACGAGAGAAGCAAAATTCTGCCATTCAAATTCATTATTCACAAGTTAATACAGCATTTTAGAGCTTGAGCACGTCTGTGTCACGAACAACAAATTTGCAGTTTGTCTTATTTGCCCGTGGAAAATATCAGAATGTTTAATAATTCTACTTCCGTGGAAGCTGAATGATGCTGCTTTTGATGTATTGTCTCTGATCAGTTTACAAGCTATATTTTACACTGCACAAACTGTAAACTCAAAGTCAGCAAGATAACTAATATAAATAGAACAGTGGACTAAAATTACAGAGGTCTCCTGTAGCACAGTATTCTTGCTGCAGTTCCTATGATTCACTACAGAAGGAAACATTTTTATATCACAGTGCACATTTTCTTGTAACACAATCACAAAACCATATTTATCAAAACTCTGACACATTTCTCAGTGAGAAAGGTTGGGAAGCTTCCCCTCTGTTGCTGGCCAACTTTGTAGTTTGAAAAAGATAAGATGTATATTTTTTTTCCCCCACAAGAAAAATCTAAGCTTGTGCAGCTCAGAAGCAGGAAGACTTATCTGCTTTCCAAGCATCTGACATATGACGACACCAAAAACATGTTGACTCGCTGTGATCAGGCAGGAATGCTTCATATCAGAGGACATTAACATTTTTTCAATCAAAGGCCAGAGTCTCTGTGAAGTTTGACCAGTAAGGTTCACCAGTAGATTTTTATGGATCCATCCATCAAACATGAACATGACTTTCTTCACCCTCACGTATTTTGTCTTTTATCAGATATCATGCATAGTGTTCAGCAACTATACGAAAATTAAATAAGCCG